AAGCATTTCTTATATATACACACACAAACATATACTCAGATTTAACTCACCAGATCTCTTTTCCCACTCTTTCAGATGATGAAAATGCTGTGAGCGAGAGCACAGAAATTGTGGACGTGAGTCCTTCCATCACGACAAACAGCATAGGTCAGAAGACAGATGACCTGGACGCGGATATGTGCGAACGCTCATGTGAGGAACTTAGCACCATGTTCCAGGAGCTCAAAGGCCTCCGTGTTGTTGTCAGTAATCTCATTGACGGCTTGCAAAAAGTGGTGAGTTGCAAAAGTGACAAATCTGTCTCTCGTAGGCAGCGCGAAACAAATATTTATACTCAGTGTGCGCTTTAGAGCAGCCAGTTTTAGTGATTAATGTAAAATCAGTTTGTTGCGTAAGAAAAGAAACGACCTCTTAGGATAAATGATGCTTTTCTTCTTGTAAGAGCCAAAACACAAGAAGTTTAAATTGGGTTACTAGGTAACCTACTTTGGTTTGAAAACAAATAAGCAGCATTAGAAGTATTTACAGGAGCAGCTTGTGATAACTGAACCTGTTTGACTCTGGCTATCTGTGGCAGCATGAGTCAGACCCCTTTTATGACATGTTATACGCGAACATAGGAAGTGTTCCCCTGGCACTGACTTGGTCCAGTCTAATGTCTGGCCTTGTTTGAACAGCTTGTGTGCTTCCTCTGGGAGCCTCCTAGCAATAAGAGTCTGGGCATGAACCTTGGGGGGAAAAAAGAGGTTGGTATGAGAAGGGTCCCTGAGGCTCTTCCAGACCAAGTGGTGTCTTGGAGTCTAGCGATGCACGCGGCTGTTCCCCTACTCACGACGAAGCCCGCAGTCATCCGCTCCAATCTTTGGCAGCGGGCTAATCGACTGACAGTTCCAGAGTTAGAAAGAGTCCAAGCAGAAATCCCCTGGTCTCCAAGTAGGTTGGAGGTTGTTATATGAATAACTAAGCAGCACTTTTCAGCGGTTTGTTTGCTTTTAGTAAAACAATATGAATGGAAAAAAACTTCAGAGTCGTCAAAACCGCAATCATGGGCTGAAGTCTCATTGCAATCAGAGCCGAGTAGGGGTTTTTCTATATTATTGTACTTTTTTTTGTCTTTTCTTTTTCCAAATTTGAGCACTCCTGAGGCAAGAATGAAGAAAGTGATACTAAAATGATAAAGTGGTGTCTAACTCAGGGTATCACTGGGCCTGGAGAAAGATGGCTGAAGAGTGAAACTGGCTAAAAATTGTAGCAGGATGCTAAATGATACTTTAAAGAAATAGTTTGTGTTTTTGAAGTGTAGTGCTGTGGAAACATTGTGAACAACTGATTTCTTATTTGTTGCAAATATAGCTCCTTGAATTACCTCAATTTGGAAAAATAAAGATTCTGAATGAAGGCTGAAGGTAATTAGCTGAAGGCTAATCAGAGTGAGGTCAAGATGGATTGCTTTCATGTTAGCCTGGTAAAAATACAGCCCCTTGTTCTACACTTTGCTTTGGACAGAGGGTCTGGACTCTCGGCTATTGAGAAGCAATTTCTTGCTGGAGGCGTGGACTCTGTCGAAGTTTAAAATGATTGGATCCGATTTACCCAATCGCCAACGTTTGGCCGTGACATACAGCATGTAGTGCGCCAGCTCGATCATGAAGAAAGCTAAGAAGCTAACCGGAAATTGCTCCCCTACTGGGAGGAGAGACGTCCCGAGTTGAACGAGGTGGCTGTAAATGAGTGCTGCAGGCTTTATGAGACGTATTTAATTTAATTTTTGAAGACTTGCTACATGGACTGGCTTCATTCACTTCCTCCACTGCCACTAAAACAGTGCAGTAAATTGACATCATCGTTGACAACCTACTGATTGACCCGGTTGAAATTCCACCGGAGAAATCCTTGTCAGGGAGATGTCCTAGATGGAGCAATGACAGGAAACTATAATTGAGTGGAACTGCATAGGAAGGCAAGGGCCAGGCTGCTTTCATGGTAAAACAATTCTAATTTAAATAATAATAATAATAAAAAGAAAAATCATAGCGGTTCTTGTGAATGTGTACACTGAAACACAAACGGCAGCAGCAGCAGTGAATTGCAGCACTTCTGGTGCAGCCTGAAGCATTTCAGACAGGAATGTTCTTTTATCTCTGCTGCAGTAACCTTGTAATGCTCTTGGATGCCAGCGTAAAGATGTATAAAATTTTATTGACTTGAATGGTTATGAAAAGTTTGATTATATTTGTTTTAGGATGGCAGCTAAACTGACCCTGGTCTTTCCAAACCGAGCCTTTCAAAAAGCTAAAACATAAATAGTTCATAAGCTTGTCACAGACCTTATTTCAAATTATTCGAAATATTAAACTGATGTAGCCTATTTTAAATAAAGTATACAAATAATCTACATAAAAATCTAATTTTCCTCTCACTTTGCATAAACTCTTACAAACTCCTGGTTTGTCTGTATTTTAATCTGGCATTTACCACTACATTTTTTTTGTCCGCGCATATCAATCATCTCTGACTGCGAAACTGCTGCTGTGTGTTCAGACAGAGGAGAACACGGTCATGAAGGAGGCCCTCGGGAGAATGAAGGACTCTAAAGAGAAAAACATGTGCTGGCAGGACGGGCGTCTGTTCGAGGACAAGGAAGACTGGGTTGTAGACAGCTGCACTAAATGTACCTGCCAGGTAGTGCCAAGTCGCACGGAAATATGCAAATTTACTGTGGATCTCTGTAAACTTGATGGTTTTGTAAAATCCCTCGATCGCAGGAGTCCAAGATTGTGTGTCACCAAATTACATGTCCACCCGTGGCCTGTGCCAGCCCCTCTTTAATTGATGGAGAGTGCTGCCCTGTGTGCATGCGTAAGTAGTCCTCAGCATACAAACTCTACTGTAAACATGCTGTTTTCTTAAAAAAAGAAAATGATGGTGCTAAGTGCCATAAAAACATTATTCCATAGACGTAAAACTTTAATAACACAGGACCTCAGCAGCCAGTTTGTGTGTGGGAACAAACCACGTATTTATTGAGACTAAGAATGGCTTCTGCGGGTTCTTCAGATGAAGTCATCTGATAAACAGAGTCACGTAAAAAAATGAAAGCTGTAGATTTTTTTTACATTTTGTTTAAAGAGAGGTGTGCATTTTCCAGGCACATAGTTCAGTTCTACACCCAAATCAAGTAACTATGTTCAGTTATAAAAAAGCTGTATATCAGAAATAAACTTGACTTTGCATCATATCCTATCTAAACACCTTGAAATTGGCCTCCATCTCTTTAAGAACCTCCTACCATTTCTGACACTCCCACTTCAGCACGTTTTTAACAACAATTCTTTGTGGGAGGGGTGCTCTGTGGGGCAGGAGCTTGACTCCAGGGAGGTTCTTTGTACAAATGGGCGGTGCTTTGTACCAGCAAGCGTTTAGGCAGCTCCACGTCTACCACAGGAAATTCAAGGATTTGTCAAACCTGCATGAATGAGTCAAAGCAACACTCAGGATGTATTTTTTGATAAGGGAATATTATAATGTGATATAAAGCTCAAAAAGTCAATTTTGCATAATTGCAGCCCCGTTTAATGGTGTGAGTGTTTCTTGTGCAGTAAAAAGTAAAAGGATGTTGTCTTCCTCCAGCTAAAGACAGTGAGGATGGCTGGTCACCCTGGTCAGAGTGGACAGAGTGCACAGTCACCTGTGGGATAGGAACCCAACAGAGGGGCCGGTCATGTGATGCAACCAGCAACCCCTGCAGCGGACCCTCTATCCAGACCCGCAAGTGTAGCCTGGGCAAATGTGACAGCCGTGGTTGGTATATTTTTCCCACTAGTTTGTCTCACCTTGTTTTCTTTTTAAATGTGGCATCCAGACGTTCTCGCCTCAATGCTTTAAACAAACTAAAACAAACATGTGTAATGATGTGTGGGAAGCAAGAAGATCATAAAACTTGAGAAAAAGACTATCAGCACTCCGCAGTTACAAATAAGTGAAATGCAAAACAGTGCGTTCACTCCTCTATAAATCTGGATCCACCACAGTGTGGCTGAGTACGAGTGGCATGACTGGGTTGTGGGGTGTGCCCAGTCAAAGTTAATTCCAAATAAATCACCGGCTGAGAGGGTGTTTTTCACCCCAGTGACTCACCGCTATCCTTCAAGCAAATATATATATATATATATATGAAGTGAGGCAATGCAGCTAGATTTTTGCTGGAGAGTACACTGCAAAAAATGTCCACCTTACCAAGTTTTAAAATCTTATATCAGCCAAAATATCTTTGATCTTGTTTTGAGCCTGATCTACTAAACAAGAACTGATTGTGTAAGAATAATAATCTTGTTTTCAGAATGTGTAAAATTATTTGTCTTGTTAGCCTGAAAATTTGACTCAGATTAAGTCAAAGATTTCTGCCAATGGAGTAGGAAAATTTTAAGATTTAAGATTCTCGAAATACTTGATTTGACTCAATTGTTTCTTATTTCAAGAATCTTACCAAGTAAAATTTTCTTACTCCATTGGCAGAAATCTTTGACTTAATTTGAGTCAAATTTTCAGACTAACAAGACAAATAATCTTACACATTCTGAAAACAAGATTATTATTCTTACACAATCAGTTCTTGTTCAGTAAATCAGTCTCAAAACAAGATCAAAAAGACTTTTAGGCTGGATATAAGATTTTAAAACTGGGTAAGATGGACAGTTTTTGCAGTGTAAGGCTGATGAATTGGGTATTTCATTGTTTATTGAATTGGCACGTGTTATTGCTTGCAGCTAACCTTGCTCTTGGTCCATGTGAATGAGTGAATCAGTCTAACCACTTGGAAATACCACAATGCTATGATTACTGGCTCACACATATTTAAAGAGGGCAACCCTTCTATCACCCCGTGGTTACTAACAGATGTCTGACTTTTTGATTGATTGGAAATGTGGAGGAAATATGTATTTTGTTGACCTCTGCCTTTGTAATGTTCCATGCCCAGTGCGCCAAGATGGAGGGTGGAGTTTGTGGTCCCCATGGTCGTCTTGCTCTGTGACCTGTGGGGAAGGACAGATCACTAGAATACGGCACTGCAACGCTCCTGTGCCACAGCTGGGGGGCAAAGACTGCGAGGGGAGTGGAAGAGAGACTCAGAAGTGCACTGCCAAGCCATGTCCAAGTTAGTACCTCAGCTTAAGGAAGAATTCCTCAACAAGGAGCAGCTTTGTTAGAGCACCTATTGTGTCCACATGACTTTGGATCCCCTCGGGCAACATTCCCCATGTGCTTTAGCCTGGCTTCCTGTCAGTCTTTTTGGAAATGTTGACCAAAATCAGCTCAGTATGTTCTCCCATTGTAATAAGCTCATTACTTCTGTGGCTGTATTCATTTTTAAGCTGTTTGTTTACATATCAGGAGGTAAAAATTTTAAGTAATGAAATACAGGGCCTTCCAAAGAAAAAAGAAGCTTTTTTTCTCCTACTTTGTTGCTTTACAACCTGGAAATAAAGATGTTGTGTTTTGATCATATAATCAGGACAACATGTTGCCGGTTTAAATGTTCAAAATATTTGTCATTGAAAAACAAACAGGAAAATGTAAAAAAAAAAAAAAAAAAAAACAGCAGATGTGCAAATTTTTCCCTGCACTTTTTTTTTAATACATAGCTGCAATTCTCCATTCTAATGGGTAAGACTACCTCAAGACTTTTAGCCAATTCTTCTAAATAAAGTTGCTTTATATTTAGATAGGATAGGTTCCTTTGATTGATATCAACTTTAAAATCAGGCTAGAAATGCTGTGGCAGGACCTTAAGAGAGATGTGCAAGAATAACAGCTAGAAAACCTCAATAAGTTAAAATGAATAGGTCAAGATTACTTCATAACATTGTGAGAAACTGACAAACACCATACAGAAAAATACTCAATATTTTGCTGCTAATAAAAAAGGCCTTGTTGTATTTCACATGAAATAACTCATTTTACTTTTATATTAAGTTAAATTAACTTAATGGAATGGTATAAAATAACACTAAGTCCTAATTTGTAAAATGAGATGAAAGAGTGCATATTCAGTGTTTAAAATTCTACATACTGAGTACATGAATGGCAAAAAAAAGTTGCACAAGAGTGAACTTTATCTAACTAGTTATGTTAGCTTTGTAATGCCAAATTAGAAAAAAACAATCTAGTTTTCAATTTCATTACAGAAAATTTCAAAACATTTATTTAGAGTGCAGATTGTAAGGCAACAAAATGGAAAATAATGCAAGTGGTTGGTTGGTTTTTCTGTATACTGTATATATAATATATGAATCTTTTTAGTTGATGGTGGTTGGGGACCTTGGTCTCCATGGGCAACCTGTTCTGCAACATGTGGCGGAGGAATCAAAAGTCGATCGCGAGAGTGCAACAGCCCTCAACCACAATATGGTGGCAAAAAGTGCATCGGTGAGGCCACAGACAGCAACAGCTGCAACAAGGAGGACTGCCCCATTGGTGAGTAACATCCACTTACCATGAGGTTATCTATGGAAGCAACAATCTCTGACTGAATGTTGGTCAAGCAAACAGTACATCCATCTATTGCTTTCCTCTTAAGTTTGTACATTTCTCCCATTGGATGGAAAAGATGACATCACAGCTGAAAGCATTTTCATTTTTGAATCAAACCTATAGATCAAATATCTGCAGATTGATGGTATTTCAATCAGATTTTATTTCCACATACACAGTATAGACATGCTACAGAAATCTCAAAGATATTCTGCAATACAGCTAACTACAGCTAGCATACCAGCAAACTAGTCTTACCACACTCTATATTTGTCACATACCTTTGAAATAATGCTTCATTTAAAGTTCAGACACACAAATTTTATTTAAAACAAAGTTGAGGATAACTATTCAAGCTAAATATTTTTTTTATGTTTACAACACATGTATGCCAGCATTTACATCAGTTTTCCTTGTTTGTTTCCACTCATCTAACTCGTCTCCCAGATGGCTGCCTGTCTAACCCTTGCTTTGGAGGAGTTGACTGCAGCAGCTCTCCAGATGGCTCCTGGGAATGTGGCCCATGTCCTGCTGGTTTTCGTGGTAATGGCACTCATTGTGAAGACGTTAATGAGGTAAAAGACACTTATATGTAAAAGGTCACCTTGCTTTAGACTCGTCTGTACGTGGTTTTTTGCTGATGTGTTCGTTCATTCTCTTTTCCAGTGCGACATGGTATCTGACATTTGCTACAAAGTGAGTGGAACGCAGCGTTGCATCAACACTGATCCAGGTTTCCACTGCCTGCCCTGTCCGAAGCGCTACAAAGGCAATCAGCCTTTTGGTATGGGTATTGAAGCTGCCAAGACGAACAAACAAGTGAGCCAATGCTTCAACCATCCCTTTTATGTATCTGTCATTTAAACTGGTGTAGCCTTAAACTGGTGTAGCCTTAAAGAAGCGAAAGTAGAGTAGGGGACAATACATAGACTTTGTAGCTTCAGGCAGATATTCAAAAGCAGATGCGAGGGGGTTTTGTATGTCCAATCCAAATGTATAAATAACTCAGGGAGCCACTGAATTGATGTAGAAGTTTCAGGGTTGAAGGGGAGGATCTGGGAAATTATTTACAAATGTGACTTACCTTGAAACAGAACGAAACAGAGGAGAGTGGGGTAAATCCTAACAACAAACTTTTTTTCTGGTTCTGCTAAGAGCAGATTTAGCTGTTTTTTAAATTATATTTTGATATAGATGCTGACGGGATCTGATATTTTTCAGTTAAAACATCTAAAATTAAGTCATAAAGGAAATATTTTTACTGTAGTACATGTAATTTGTCATGACAGCTTTGCTATATTTATTGAGACGCAGATGTTTCCCTCTCTTATATGATCACTAAATTAACAGAGACCAAAAGAAAAACATACCATAAAGCATTCCTCATGGTTCATTTTGACACATTTTAGCCTCTGAAGCTGCCTGTCTGTGATTTTAGTTTGGCTTATCCCCAACTGCACTAACTGATTTGGAAAAAAGGTGAATTGTCTCATTGTTGGCACGAAGATGCTTCATTTTGATCAAAGACCTGTGCTCGTTGTCATATTGGGCTTTTTGAGCTCATGGAGTCACATCCCAACTGCAGTTAAGTTCATCCTGCAGTAATGACTGGCAGCTGTGAATACCTTGTGCTGCAGTAAAGGTGCAACAGTAGTTCACAGTGGGATGTATGATGACATTAAATAAGGTTTCATAAAATCAGCCGTGCCCAGAATTGCCTCGTACTTTTGGCTTGGTACAGAATTCCTCCCTAAACTGGTCACTTTTGTTTAAGATTTCCCTCAGTGTAAAGGAGGCCTTCTTAAAGAAGACCTACTGGAAATGAAATACAATAAAAAGCATTTTAGACTTTTAAAATAATAAAATCAAAACAAAGTAAAAACCCAATAAAGATCCATCTTCTGATCTCTTTGGGCATATTACTTCTATGTCAGATCTAAACATCTCATTTTACCTTTTTAGGTATGCGAACCAGAGAACCCATGTAAAGACAAGACCCACAACTGTCACAAATACGCTGAATGCATCTACATCAACCACTTCAGTGACCCAATGTACAAATGCGAGTGTCGCACTGGCTACGCTGGAGATGGCTTTATATGTGGCGAAGACTCCGACTTAGATGGATGGCCCAATCAGAACCTTTTGTGTGGTACCAACTCTACTTATCACTGCAAGAAGGTACTTATTTGGGGCAAGTTTGGTATTACTAACTTTGTGGTGACTCCAAAGTCCTAATTTTTTATTCTTGGTAATATTTCAGGATAACTGCCCTAGTCTCCCCAATTCTGGTCAAGAAGATTTTGACAGAGATGGCCAAGGAGACGCTTGTGACAAGGATGACGACAATGATGGAATCCCGGATGACAGGGTAAGAAAATTTACAAACTTATCACAAATAATCGTTAAACAATATATTTGATTAATATACAAGAAATGCTACGTATGTCTTTCTCAAACAATGAACTCCCTAACAAGCATATACTTTCCACCACAGGACAACTGTGCCCTCCTTTACAATCCTCGCCAGTTTGACTTTGATAAAGACGACGTTGGCGACCGCTGTGACAACTGTCCCTACGAACACAACCCAGCACAGATAGACACCGATCATAACGGCGAGGGTGATTCCTGCGCAGTGGACATTGATGGAGATGGTAAATGTGCTATGCTTTTATTAGAATTCATAGAGGCAACATAAGTACACTTCTGCCGTAATAAAAACTATTATTCATACTTTTGGTTTTAGAAATTCACAATGAGAATGACAACTGCCCCTATGTGTACAACACTGACCAGAAGGACACAGACATGGACGGTGTTGGAGATCAATGCGACAATTGTCCATTGCTTCATAATCCAGATCAGGTAAATTCTCACATTGCAAATAATACATATTGTATTCTTATAGATGGTATGTGAAGTAATACATTTTATATCATCCATCAGACTGATGTGGACAACGACTTGGTAGGAGATCAGTGTGATAACAACCAGGACATTGATGAAGATGGTCATCAAAACAATTTAGACAATTGTCCATATGTGGCCAACGCCAACCAAGCAGACCATGACAAAGATGGAAAAGGAGATGCATGTGACTATGATGATGACAACGATGGTATACCTGATGACAAAGACAACTGTAGACTGACACCCAACGAAGACCAGCAGGACAATGATGGTGAGAATGTTGGCAATGAAACATCAACAGAGTTGTGTTTTTTTAGTAAATGACACCTGCAAAACCAAATGTTTCCTAATTTCCTGTTTTTAAAAAGTCTCATCTTACAAAAACCTTAAAATTTTATTTTTATGGGGCTTTTAAATGCTGATGCATGTGTGCCACGTCCTTTTGAATTCAGATAGATTTTTAAGATAATGTGGCTTTTCAGTTTTGATCATCCATCACTAGACTTTTTCTTGTATTTTCTGTGTACTATGAGTCCTTCTAGATGTTCGGTAATTAGTCTTTCAGCAGCAGGTGTAAAATTTTGTGGCAGTGGAAAGAGTCAACAGCTAGGCTAGAATGAGTGATGTCATTCTGCATGGCTTCAGTGAAAGGGCCAGAAGGGTACATGCCAGGTTGTGAAGTTTTTATTTGCTTTCAGCTTTGTGCATGATTAATCCAAAGTGGCTAATTGAAGCCAGGTTACCTGGAGTTTGTACAGCGGTCTGTAACTGGAAACAGAGCACAATGTAGGAACACTTTGTACATGAGCATGTTGGATGGTGCTAATTTAATAGAACCGTTTGAGCCTTTTGAACAATAGAAAAACCTGCTGACTAAAGAAGGTTAGCAACTTTGATTCAGTGATCCTCATTAGCAACTTCACTGAGTTTTTGGCCTGCAGCCAAGCTTCCATTAGACTTCAGACTTTACCTTTTAAGTACCAGTGGAAATTGTTGCAGTTGCTGTTTTACTTTAAAAGACTTGAACAGGATATTAAACCCAAGTTTCCTGTGAAGAATTGTCATTTTTTCATTCATTTTTCTTATTAACTTGGCAGCCTCTGCAGATGCACTGTTACAATACTCACGTTAGCCGCTGTGGTTGTTTTTTCCAACTTGAACAAAATTAGGTCAGCGTTATTGATGTGTTTTTATTTGAAACAGGCGATGGAAGAGGTGACGCATGCAAAGACGATTTTGATAACGACAACATCCCAGATTTCCTCGATGTGTGTCCAGAGAATAATGCCATTAGTGTGACAGACTTCAGGAAGTTCCAGATGGTCCACTTGGATCCTAAGGGAACTACTCAAATTGATCCCAATTGGGTGGTGAGACACCAGGGCAAAGAGCTGGTTCAGACTGCCAATTCTGACCCAGGCATCGCAGTAGGTGAGCAGAAATTTATTGTTAAACTTCTATTGACAGAGCTCCAAGACACCACTAGTCTTGATATATTTTTTCCGTCACACCATTGCAGGTTTCGATGAGTTCAATGCAGTGGACTTCAGTGGAACAATGTATGTGAACACGGACAGAGACGATGACTATGCTGGCTTTGTGTTTGGCTATCAATCAAGCGGGCGCTTCTACGTGGTCATGTGGAAACAGATCACTCAGACTTACTGGGAGGACAAACCCTCCAAAGCTTTTGGCATCTCAGGCGTTTCGCTTAAAGTCGTCAACTCAACCACAGGAACGGGAGAAAACCTCAGGAATGCTTTGTGGCACACGGGAAACACTGCAGGACAGGTAGGATAGAATCTAAATTCTTTGTGGTGTGTTTTATAGACTGATCTAATTCTAGAATACTTTGTTAATGGTTTTGTATAGGTCCGCACTTTGTGGCACGACCCCAAAAATATTGGTTGGAAGGATTACACAGCTTATAGGTGGCATCTCATCCACAGACCAAAGACTGGCTTCATAAGGTAAACCTGTATCTACCAGCTTACTGCATATACAGATCTATGATAAACAACAATTTGCTATATGGTACATTATGTTTTTCAGGGTTGTGGTTTATGAAGGCAAACAGATCATGGCTGACTCAGGACCAGTTTATGACAAGACGTTTGCTGGAGGGAGGTTAGGTTTGTTCGTCTTCTCGCAAGAACTGGTTTTCTTCTCCGACCTCAAGTATGAGTGCAGAGGTAAGAACCGCTTTTCTTAAAAGAGAAAAAAAAATCACACCAGTGTGTTGTATGTCTAGGATAGAAATCTTATCATAAGAAAACGTTCAATATCAGATTGTTGTACTTCTATATTGGGGTTTGTCCAATTAGACTGGGATGAATGCAATTGCATTGTATGACCCACTTATATAAAATCCTAACACATTTATTTATACATTCAACGTGTTTTTCAAACCTCAGATAAGCCAGAGTTTTCAACAGTGTTCATAAGGTAATTATAAGAGTATTTGTCTGTTTGAGTGTTGTGTAATGCAACAAAACTTTGCTGTTTTGTGCTTGTCAGCTTGCCCGTGCACAATGCCCCAGATGCATTGTGAAAGGCTTTGTGCGTCAGTCCAAAGACTTCAGCTCCTCTGCTGAGTGCTAAACAGTGGAAAATACATCTGCAGCACTTCTTTACAGTCACGTTACCAAAGACACGCTTCTTTAATGCACACGTTGCACACGTTCCTACATTTTGCCACTTTTTGTTGTGAATTTCATGCCCCAGATTTATCTCTGAGCTTGGCAATAATGATGTTTTCCAATCTTCCTGCAGATAACTGAATTCAAAATTAAGAAGACGGCGAAACAGCAAACGGCAAAAAGACAGGAATCTCTCCAAGCAAACATCATGTCGTCAGTGAATTGAGCATTTGCACATTCACATGCTTTGCCTTTATTCATCCACAGTAGATAGGATGACAGATTTAAGTTTTCCCAGTGACGGATGCACATTTTCCATGCTGAGTAAGAAAAACCGACACAAGTGAATGGGTTTTAAAAAAGTCTCTTCAGAATATATAAACACAATTAAAGTACTTAAAATGTTTCTTTAAACTCATTGTGTGACCACTTTCTTGGAAGGGAATAACTTACAAGGGAACTCTTTGTGCTTTCCTACAGTTCTTTTTATATCAGTATTAACTCTTGACTTGGTTTTTCTGTTTTCACTCATCTGTTAGTCAAATAAGTTTCCGTACTCAGACATAACCTGTTACATCATTTAATCCATCACCATTCTGATTTCTTCTCATCCTGACTGTGTATTTCTTATGGAGAACTTGAGTGAACAGTTTCAGCAGTGCCAAAGATGTTTATACTAAGTCTGTACCATATTTCTTTTTGTAAATTATTGAAGCCAGTTTTGTTTGCAATTTTTTTTGGGCTAGTTTGTAAATAATTTATTTATTTGTTTACACTGACATATAATTGAATATCACATCAAGAAAACATATCACATTATCTGGATTTTTAAGTGTCGTTGTGCACTTTCTGTAATTGTTAGTTTTTCAAATCTTTTGTTAAATTTTATATTACAAAGGTTCTTTAACAATAAGCACAACAGATGCTTGTGTACGAGACAGAGGATGAAGACTCAGTCCTTGTCCTCATAGAAATATATTAATGTGTGACTGTAACATTTTTTAAAGTGGCTTTGATTTTCTTGTTGATGAGTTGAAAAAGGGTCCAAATTGGTTATTAAATCATCAACTGCTTGTTCGTTTCAAATCGTTGAGAATGTGAGGTTGGTATGTTAAAGTCATATAAATAAAACATAGTAAAAAAAAAAGATCTATTAGGTTTTTATCCAAGTGTTAGATTTAGGTTTGTTTTGTGAATGTTGTGAAACTGTGTTGGTAGAAAAGAGTCCAGATGGATATCTTTAAGTGTGATTGTGCGACTGTACAAAGTGGTCTGAAAGTTTGTGAACCTCTGATTTGGTTGTCATTAGTCTGTATATCCCTATGTATCATTCATGTTCTTACCTGCTTGATTACCATTTCCTTGAAAGGTTGCAATGCACAAATTGTAAATGTTTTTTTTTTGTTTCTTTTTTTTTGTATTTGTGTTGTTGGATACACATTTTTTTCCAGAGACTGATAAATTGTTCTGTTTAATAAATAAAACGTTTTTACACCACTTTGTTGATTTTGTACAGACAGTAAACTAGTTGAATGCCCTGTCCTAGTTCATTGAAAAGCAAGGCAATATCAAACCTAAACCAAAAAGCTTCCAGGCCTCAGAGGACCAAAGTATATAAATATTCAAAAACATTTTTGCTAACACTTCATTCACATTATCAGATTCTTGTCTATCAAATCATACAGTAGCTGTGTTTTCATTGACTATGAAAATGTGTAAATTAGAAATTTGAAATTAAATTTACTTAACGTAATGTAAACACACGAATTTCATAAAAATTACATTTTTCAACAAAATGGTTTTGTGCTAGGATAAGGTGGTTTTTCAGCCATATCGAAATTGGTGTATTTCGCAAAACTGCAATGGAAACACTTTTTCGCATCGCGGGAGTCCCATGATCGACAACCAGATGTTTCTACTGGCAAAAAAAAAAAAAACAACAACAACAACAAAGATGATGACTTAAGGAAATATAAGTAGTAGTAAAATCACCAAATTAGTAAAAGAAAGTAGTAAAATCACCAACAACAATTTCCCAAAAACGCTGCATACGTAGCTGCTCCCAAGTATAAGGGTCTTGTCGTTCGAAAGCCTTGATAAGACGTCGACGTTTGTCCGACCCGCCAACAAGAACACACCCCCAATCAATATATATGATTCAGTGCAACAAAATAAACAAATTTAAAATGTAAAAGATTCAAGATTCAAGAGGTTTTATTGTCATTTCACCTACCGTATATACAGGGTACATAGTGAAACGAGATTGCTTTCCTTCTTGGCCCATGGTGCAGCATAAACTACAAAACCAAACAAGACAACAGACAGCAATAAGGCATATAACATTATGAAGCAATTATTACAGTCATGTGGCACAAATTGCTCATCTTTATAGTAAACTATACCTGTACACAGTAATCATTATGCATAATGGCACCTCAAGTTGAGACATGATGTGAGCACCTGCGTCAGGAGTCCATTACCTGCTGGTACTCCTAGCTGTCATATTTGCTCCCTTGTGTGTGTGAGTGTCTTATCTGTTAGCAAAACAGACTTGACCATATTACCTGAGGTGGTGGGTAATATTCATTCCATCAAGGAACAATTATTTGTATCTAAAAGTCTTTCATCACTACAAGTCTAGGACCTTCATTCCATCCATCCATCCATCCATCCATCCATCCATCCATCCATCCATCCATCCAATTTCTTACGGTTATCTGGGGTTGGGTAGCAGGACCTTCATTTTATTGTAAACTTAGTTCAATTCCATATTATCCTAAATGAGGCTTTGCAGCAAAAAACTGGGCTTGGAACTTTTTTTTTTTTGATTCAGAGAACTGGAAACTATGGGTGATGTTGCATGAGTGTGCCTCAGAAAGTGGAAACCATTGAGTGAGAGGGTTAAATACCATGTTGGTGAGGCCAGGAAAAATAATGTGCTATTGGAGGGGTGGGGGTATGGGGGGGTAAGTAAGTGAGACTCCTCTCTTGTAGCTGTATCAGATATTTAGGTTGAGGTTCTTGGAATCGTCCACGTGGCACACACCATGGGTCTGGCACCGGCAGCTGGTTTCAAGCCCACAGCACGTTCCTTAGTGTTTCATAAAGCTCTGCCAGAGGATGTCAACGTATGACACCGTAAACCAGCGTTTTCTGCTAAGGCAAGTATTTAGCAAGCGGGAAGCATTTTAAAAAAAGAGACAAGAAACCTCCAGGAAACTGGGGAGGTGGTGGGGGGTGCAACACAAAAGAAAAAAACCCCCACAAAGAGTCTGTTGTTACTTTGTGAGTCATGATGTGCCACACAAGGCTGAAAAGTTTCAGTCAATCAAGATAATCAATGACAGTTAAAAAGTGCTCTGACTAATAGGTAGTCTTTTTTTATATTCTTCACAGATTTTGAGTAAAATTAGGTTTTGGTTTTCCCATCCAATAAAATGGGAACTTCTGCAGCTCCTGAACAAAGAAACTAAGATTCTGCAGAGGGCAAGTGTGCTTGGAAAGAAGTAGGTCTGCCACTTGAAATAAAGTAAACCATTTATTTCATGGCATGAGTTCCTCTGGTCAATGGAAACATATCCATCTTTCTTTCTGCCAGCTGCTGAGGCATAACCTCAATGCTCTCTGAGAAACAGAGAAGCCAAAATCGTTGGACTGGTGAAATTCTGCAGCGCGGCGGCTGTAAGTTGTCTGCATGAACCTGGGCTTTTAGATGAATATACAAGTCAAACTTCATAGTATAAATTAAAGATAACCAAATGAACTTAACCTTTTTTCCCCACTAACTTTGGTCCTGACAGGAATTGGGAGGTGATGTCTTGGCCTTGCACAGCCAAACAAAATGCAGACTGCTGCTGCAACAGGCCCTCTAAAGTCTGATTAGCCTAACTTGGCAAAATAAACTCAGATCAAATGTAATCTCGTCTCCTGAAGAGCTTAGTTAAAATAATCTTTGCTGTGATAGTGGTGCATGAGGCTAGATGAGGGATGAAAGTTGAAATGCAAATGTTTGTGACAAGACTCATAAGTTTCCTTCTCAGTGATGGGTGGCAAATGTGCTGCCCACAAGTGTCAAAACTTATGACGAATGTAAACACTGTTGCACAAGCCAGACATGGAATTACAGAACCTCATGCACCTGGAATAACAGAAAGAAGGATCGGCTTATGAAAGAATTGTCCTAGAGTCTGGTGGCTGTCAGAACTTTAACCTATAACATGTTTTAAATAATCTAAAGCAAATGATTGCTCTATTTTTGAACAATTTAACCATCAAGGTTTTAGAGTTAAAATAATTAGATTACATGTTTGTAGCTTTACATTAAAAGTGTCAAGCATTAACAATACCACACACTAAAACAATTATAGTTTAAAGGCTATTTGCAATGCCAGTCCCCAGATGAGCTTTTAGCAACATAAAAATAAAAGTTGAAATAGAATAAAACATAACAATATTAAGACAATTCTTGAAACAAATTTAAACACAGATCATAATAACATAATTTCAAAGCTGGCAGTTATTCATGATTACAATTTTTTGCGTATAATACGAGAAATTCAACTCCAAAAATCATCTATAAAGTGGGTGAGATTATACATGGGATTAAATTTGACTGACTTTTTAAAAATGCGCAACCACAATAAATTTCAATATTTCTTGTATATAGAGCTGTGTAGTGGTAAGAATTTGGCAATACGATACATATCATGACAGAGGGGTCACAATACGATATATCCCAATATATCCCGATATATTTTGATACTGTAAACAAGGCGATATATTGCAATATTTTGGTCCAAAAATTATATTAAATAAAAACCTCTTACTGGGAAAAAAAAATTCATTGTCTCAGAAAATTCTAATATTACAGAGACATACTTTTGATACATTTAGCTGTGTTCTGCTTTGTATGCGTTTTATTTTATTTGTTTCATATTTCATCCATGTTTTCAATTATTAGACTAAATTTGCCAATAAATAGTTTGAAAATATATATTTTGCAGCTTTTCCTTTTTAATGTTAATTTACGATATCGTCACCCAACACTTAATAATGGCCTTTATGTTGTCATAAAGTTCAGTAAACAGATGAAATGAAGCTGCTGCACACAGAGTTTCTGGGATCAGCTGACCTGCATCCAGAACCTGATTTGTATAACTGTGGGTCGAACAGCAGGGCAGGTCCCGAAGAAAACCAGTTAAGAAATTGAGAAGCTAAACGAGTTAAACTGTTTTTGAAGCGAACACAGCAGGATAAAGTATATGGACTTTGATGCGATCATCAGCCGGACATTGGGCCTCATGCAAGAACATGTTCATATTCTTCTCCTAAATTTCTCTTACTTTTGTTCGTACAAAGGGTTCGTACGAACATGTCACGTCAGATTCAACAAACTCTTCTATCTTCAGGAAAAGTGCGTAAATGAGCTGCGTAAATTCCACCTGTTCTATCCAGCTGCTCGTGCACGCGAGAGGAGATTAGCATAATTACCACCCCAAAAACACCATATAAGGCTATGTTTCCTGCCTCGGATACAAGGAAGTGTTCATTCATTCATGAAAATGACAGCGAAAACTAAAAAGAACTTTACGAGTTCAGAGATTGAAGTCCGTCTGTCAGAGATCCAGAAAAGAAAATCTGTCATTTTTAGCAGGTCAGCTGTGGAATAAAAAGAGCTGCTAAAAATATAAACAACTGTGTTAAATCATTTTCATTTATTCAGAAGCCGCAGCGCTGCGCACCGTGCAGTCTTAAAATACAGACATTCTGACAAATAAGTAACTGTTTGTAAKCTTACCTCAGCTTAGAAGGCAGAGGGTGTCGGTCTTTTCCGCTCAGATTCAGCTATCGGAGCATGAAGCTAATGTTTACTTACAATGCTAATGCTCTCTTACTCTCTGGCGCTCAAGAGGTAGAGGAGCCAAATGTCTGGCTCACTGCTGCCAACTAGTGGTAAGAGGCTGAACTACAACATAAAATGAACGACTGGCAGGAAAGTTGACATTTTAAACCTTAATAAAAAATCAATACAGGGTTTTAGAATATCGATACAGTATCGGGAAATGAAATATCACAATATTTCAGTGTATTGATATTTTCTTACACCCCTACTTGTATATAACTGAAACATCCAGCTCCCTCCAGTAAAAAGTCACGCATAGCAAGGCAAATTAACAGTGGTTGTTTACTCACTGGAGTCTGAGGAGGTGAAAAAAAAGTATTTTTCTTGTTAATTGTTGCGATGGAACAAGACTTGGACTTTAGTTGCATGTTGTGATAAATCCATCCAATGCATGTTGTGATAAATTTACCAACTGGCTTCTGCTCCCGTCCAAAGTGGATTGCTTTTTCAGTGACACGCAGAACCGGAAACTTCCGCTGCTCGTCCTCCGCAGCTCTGCAGCGAAACACGCCCACACAAGTGCGTCTCCCCAATAATGTTTCACCACCAGAGGGCG